GCCTATCATAATCATGTATCCAAAATTATCAACACATTATTTACATACAGTTTGGCCTAAATCCCTGAGACGCTTCCAATATCTCAGTGTCTTCTACTGACAGAAACTGTGGCAAGGCACTCTATGAAAGCAGTTTTGATGGAAATCCGTGTTACAGATCCATAACACGGATCCGTGCAAATAATGTTACAGTGAAAATAAAATCTCATGCCATACTTTGGTGTGGAAGGGATAAAACAAGGAAACTGATAAACAGCAAGAGTGACAGCATTCCAAAGAATGCTGAGTAAGAATTTTTATCAACAATTAAAATCCTTGCCCACTACTCTCTCACGTAGGCTAAAGAGAGTCATTTCACTTTATATCAATAAAAAGTGTTTGGACCATTTGGGATTTTAAAAAAATGTGTGAAAGTATTATTTCAATTTGGAAATTATAAATAAACAGAAATTATAAGTAAACAGACTTCTTAGAACATATCAAGGCAGTGTTTTTAAAATTGTCTACCCATTATGAAATGTTCCAAATGTATCAAACAAACTGGGACTAAAAATTATTGGAAAATTTATTTCAAACGATTAGAATCCTAGAGTTGAAAGGTCTCTCAGAAGATATTTTTAGTCCAACTCTGTCTACTTAGTTCTGATATTGTTTTTAAGCAAAGTTAAGAATTGGAGTGAAATGTAAATTGGATCAGTCTTGGTAGCTGACTAAACATAATCACCCACACTGCACTGAAATAGTTTCTATCCATTCAGTTGAGATGGTAAACGTAGAATCTTTGCTAGTTGCTGCCTTTTAATCATGGAATGCTTCTGCATCCACCCTCAGTTGTGAATCTAGTCATGTTTTTTATTACCTGACATTCTCTCTATGGATAGGATTAAAGTTTTCTGCTTCAGTTTTCATTTGTTATACTACCTTATGAAACTGTTTGCGATGCTCCTTGTAAGACAGTTTGTCCTGTAGAAGATTTCACAGCAGTTCAGAGTTACAAACTACACCAGAGATTAAGCAAGTATTTTATCACATTGCCTTCTATTCTGCTGATTTCTCTACAAAGAATAGGATTAGTAATTTACATCTTTCTATATTTTTGTATAATGAGTATGAACAAGGCTTCCTAAAGTCTTAATAGCGAGAAGGTACACATGCTGAGAAATAACCTAATTTGCCTGATTGGCATAGGGAAATCATTTGATTTATATTAATGAACTTGTAAATGAGAATATGGAAATAAATAGTCATAATTTATGCTAAAGCCTTCCAGAGGCATTAAAATATCGTATGAAGTGTATATATATGTCAGCTTAATCTAATCCTCAAGAATTTACCATACCCCGTGCTTTCAACACAAAGCCTATAATGCCCTCATTTGGTAGGTGGAATTGTTACACAGAAGTTCACCATTAGGATCACGCTTGCTTTAATACAACTTTATATTTCATCTTTGGCTGACAGAAAGCTACCTTTTTCCTGTTTGAGCACAAATCTTTACCTTTTCTGACACCAGTAACATTAACTAAAATGTAATCTGTTGCAACACAGAGAGAGTCCATATTTTTAGATTTTGTGTTTGTGAGCTGCAATGGGCTGTTCTGATTTATTAATTTTTGGCTCAATAAACTATGAAATTCTTTTTGACAAAAAAGGGAAAATACATGGTTTTAATTAGAGACTAATTTGAGATTTGTAACAGAATTTATTTTTTCTTCCATCCTCAATATCTTCCATATCTACTTAGCTAATTGTCTGTTAGCTCCTACATGCAGTGAAAAGATTGGGCTGCTGGAATTCAATCAACTCCTGCAAAGGTGAATCTGGTTCAAAGGACAAATAAAGATATATTTCTTTATTTGTTCATTCCTATATTAAAATAAATCTAATGCAAACTACAGCCCTTTTAATAAATGAAGATATTTTGCTGTAAGGAAGGTTTCAATGGATGAACTAAATATGCTGTAAACATGATTTGAAATGTTAGCTATCTATTTAAGAAAAATGATTTTGCTTATAATATTAGTCTCACTTGCCCCCATGTTTCTTGCTCTATCTGTGAGATCAAGTCAGGTGCTATAATATTCTGATCAAATATGGTGAGGTACTCAAATATTCTTGTTTATCAACCAGCTAAAGTTAGGTAAAATAGTAGCTCAAGAAGATTTAAAAAGATTTTGCTGTCATTATTGTTAAATTATGACAGCAAAATCAGGAATTCTTTCTGATTAACACCAAACATCTAAAGATCTACTAGTTATGTTCTTAAGATGTTCTGAGACTACCAATCACTTATTGAACAATTGATACAGATTTTCCTGTTTTACTACGAATGACTTTGGCTGATAAAACATTTGACCAGCTGTTAAACACATTTTTGATTCTTTTAAATCGCCCTCTGTGCTAATCACAAAAGACTAACCCAATAGAATTATGAAGTGCACTTATAAAAAATAAACAACAGAACAGTAGAACAGATTATATATAAATCTGGTATAAAACTATTAAATTTTATTTATTTAGATTTATTTAGATTTATATTGTCGCCTATGCGCACATGGCGACTCAAGAGGGCTTACAAGAATATAAAAACAAAAATGCTTAAACAAACACATTTTAATTTGGCACCAACACCATAAGCACATAAGTGAAGGCAGAATTTCTACAAAAATCTTCTCTCATGGTCCCTTCCAACGAACCATACAAATTCTCTTTTGAAAAAGTTAAGGCATGTACAAGTTAAGGTATGGAAAGGAATTCTGTTTGACTTGAAAAAAAACATAAATAGCCAATAAATTCAACTCTCAGGGCCAATTTGAACTGTGGCAACTGCATTTGCATCCACTGAAATTGCTGGCTTTCTCCAAGGACAGCCATATATATACAGCACTCTACAGTATGAAAAGATTATCAAGGCATGCACCACGTGACAGACTAATCACTCTGCTGGAACCATCATAGATTGATAAACCAAGCAAAACTGGCAGAAGGCCCTCTGTGTTATTTGTGTCTTTGTTTATTTAACAAGTTTCTACCCCCTGCAATAAAAAATATTCTGCTGGCTGATACAGAATTATGTGGGCTTTAAGTGACAATGCTGGATATAGATATTCCTCCAATTTTTCTGCTTTTAAGATTGGGATATATAAAATTGCTGGCCAAAGTTACTGTAAACCCAAATCAAATCATAAGAATTCTTCTAAACCCCTTCAAAGACTCTGAAGAAGCAAACAAACAATTCAGTCTAAAAGCATATTCTATTTGTTTTTTAAAACAAACTATTGTGCAACAAATAATGGCCTGTCAGATTATATCTTAATTCCTTCTTTCATGCACTAGCTGTGTTCATTTCATGTCACAAGTTTATTCCATCCTGTTTTTATATTTTAAATCTATTAAGCAACGTCAACTTGAATTTCCCCTGAATAATGCTGCAGGTTAGATATAAAAATAGGACGGTACAATCTTTGAGGGGTAACATTTATGTCAGTTAATTAATATGGATAGTTGAGCTTTACATCTATCTCTTTTTCATGTTTGCACATTTGGGAGTTATCAGTGCCTGAGCTATACCCACAGAGTCATAACGCTCTATAGAGATTTGAAAGACAAGACACTGAAAATTGCATTTTTTTTTCTGCACAAAACCTGGGTACAAGGGGTTTCCCACAGCGATACTGGTTTCCAGCATATATTCAAGAATTAATTAGTAGGTTTTTGTTATATTATAGTCTGCGTTTCCCAAGCCTGCAGTCATAGAGTAATTTAGTTCCAAAGTTGCATTCTGTACAAAAGCATACTATTTATGGTAATGGATATGCACTGTATTCTGAAAGACCGAGAATTTTAAAGGATTCTGTCTATATCGGCCTGGATGCCTTCCAATTATATGGATTTCAACTTCCAAAATGAACAGCAATGGCCAGACTGGCTGGGAAAACTAAGAATTTAAGTACCCACATTTGGAAGAAGTCTTACTTAAGACTTCTTGCTTAACTTACACAAATTCCACTCATATAGTAGGCTGCTTGGTCCACCAGAAGTTATAATTACTTAGAAATTAATATGTGTATCATAATGCTATTATTTTTATCTTTTTTATTTTCCACACAAATCCATGAAAATCAGTTATGGTTCAATGAGATGTTGCATGTGCGCACATGAAACAATACATTAACATTATTCACTTGTGCTGTCTTCTCTTTTGTTGAAGACAAATGCATGGAGTGAGTGTAGTTTTCTTGAAACTACACTTTTTTGAATGATGTCTAATTATCGCATAGGTAAAATGAATTATAACTCCTAAAGATATTACAAAAGTATCTCTATTATTAACCACAATTTAAAGTTACACAAACCCTGTTTAAATACTATAAAACCAATGGTGGTAACATATTACTCCCATTAAGCTCTGTCCCAGCAAATCATTTGAACCATATTCAATGCAAATTATGATATATACATGGATTCCACTGAATAAGAATCTTGTAGCAGAAGGATACTTGCTCATGGAAGATAATACAATATTATTGTACATGCAAAGTCTTTCCTCCAGGACATACCTGTCCAGAATATGCAGAAAATATCAGGATGCTAACATTTTTTTCAGTAACACTGATAGGAAAGCAGATGTTGAGAGAACTCATATGATAATCTGGACAGGGCTGCAGTCTTAATCGTTGAAACACTATATTTTAGCAACATCTAAAAAAACCTGTTGTTAAATATGCTATTTGAAGAATTTGAAAACAAAAACAAAAACTGATGGCTTTAAAAGTTCAATTTAAATGGGATGTTTTGACCCTGGCACTGAATACATTTCTGGAACTAAGAAAACCAAGTTCAACATTTGGGTTTAAATACTTTATTATTTAATGTTCTTTGAGAAACAACTGGGATTATTCGGAAATTCCTAAGTAGCCACACAACACAAAACAAAGGCAAAACCACTTCATTATTTGACATTTTCCCAGGGTACTTAAAAATACGTGTGACAGACTTACCTGTTTTCAGTGCTTCCCTTTTGACAATATTTGTTCGGAAGAATGTTCTAAAACTTAACGGAGTTATGTCACCATATTTTGACATCTTCTCTACAACTTGTTTAAACATTTCCACCATACCATGCAGGATTACATCTAAATTGATTGTAGAAACTGATGATGAAGTCAGAGTTAAAGATAGGGTAACAGCGGTAGCACATGTTGGATAGGACTGCATAGCTTCACATCTAATTTGGCAGTTTTCCAATGACCTCATCTGTGTAAGTTTTTGCCTCTGTTGTTGTTGGTCTACTACTGCAATAACATGCCACTCAATAGAAGCAGCTCTTGGAAGAAAAGGTACCACAACCACAACTAGTTCTCCATGTATTGCAGGCATGTCATTATTTATATCTTCCTCTTTTGTCTGGAAATAAAGCAGACCATATCAAACATTAGAAAATATCATTGTTTAAAGGTGTATACATAGTATATGTATATGCACATATGTACACATACATAGAGGGAAAATTATAAAGATTTAACTCACAAGGACTGGCAAGCTATGCATTTCATAGTATAGATCAAACAAACACACATCACATAACATTTTATTTTATGTGAACAAAATAAGATCAAAAAAGAGGAAGCAACAAAAATGTATTTCATAAGAAGAAAATAATTCAGCATTATTTTTATTATACTAATTTAATGTGGACTATATTAAATAATGATATATCTTTGTTACATTGATAGAGAGTTCACAGACAGAAAGCTTATGATGGCTAGAAAAGCAAATGAACAACAAATCGGAGAGGACCATTTTGTAAACCCAGATTGGATACAACCACCTGGCCAATACGAGAAATGGCCTCATGTTATTCATTACAACAAAAGAGCAAATAAAAAAGTTGAGAAACTTAAAAAACTTTATTCCTGCAGCAGACATACATACAGAACTATATTATTATCCTTTGTAAGAAGCCAATCTTCATCCTAACTAAGGCTGCTTGTTTCTGAGCCCATGACTTTCCTTGAAAATACAGAGTTTCTAGAAAAAAGTGATTGCAGTCATCTGGGGACGCTTATTATTGATCCAAGGTTGTAAATCTGGGGTTGCAGAATAGAATTTATGCAACATACTGGTGGTGTAACTTAGCCTCTTCACAGAATAGTAGCACAGGGACATAAAAACTATTTCCTATTTCCTAAATCACTACAGCAGAAATTCCTTTGTGTTTATCTTCCCAGGGTGTTGATTCAGCCAGTTGTGGTGGGGACTTTTCTTGTTCCAAAATCACTTTGCTTTCACTGGCTCTTGATAACTGATGCTTATTTCAGTTCTTCTCCTCCCAGAGTGGTTTGCTGTTCATATAGTATGCTTCTTTTTCATTTCCTAACTGGTCTAGAACTAATAAAGGACAATATTTGTAGCTTAGGGTTAAAATGAGGGGTCCTTGGTGGTCTCTGAGCTTGTTTGTTTTCTTGCAGATGTTTCATTACCCTAACTAGGTAACATCATCAGTGCTAGTAAAGAGTGCTACTTGCTGTCAGTTAATATTCTGGTGTCTTGCCTGTCTGTATGGATGGGGACAGTCTTAGGGATTCTTTGGTTGGGCTGTTTACTGATGGCTCTTTGGCAGTTTCTTGATTGGGGTATTGCTTACTTGATTGTTGGTCTGAAGTTGACCTTGGAATTAATCTATGCTGATCTGAGTGCTGATACTAGAACTGGTCTAGAATTCCCTTCAACTGCTCCCAGAGTAGTATTACCAAAGCAGCTCTCAGGTTGATATTTTTTTTTGGTCGTAGCTGATGAACCTTCTTACCTCCAGCACTTGTTTCTTTTTAAAAATAATGCTATTTTTGTTTAGTTAAGCTTTTAATTTGTTGACTCATTTCTTATAATTTGTGATTGGTTTTGTTTTACCTTGAATACCTTTCTAAATCCAAAGAGAAAAGAAGGGGAGAAGGGGAAGAAGTAGCCTAGACACAATTAAGAATTCATGATTGATTCCAGACTCAGACTGCATGTTAGTAAGTGTAAAAGATTTACTTTTCTTACACAACCACCTTGAACTTCTGGTTATTTATAACAGGTTACAGTTTATGAGGTAAAGGTAAAAGCAGAAAATAAAAATGGATGGGATATGCCTGCCTCTCTCTGTCTGCAAGAAATGTTTTTGCTGAATCAACAAAGTAGCTAAAAAAATACAGTGCATGTAATACTCTGCATTTCAGAGCTGAATTCATAGCATATCAGCATTTTATTGATGACATAGTTTCTTCAGCATAGTTTCTCTAGCAAAATTGACCTCTTTTCTATGTCTTTTAGAATATTCCCCAAGAGGCATTCCAGTAGATAAGAAAATTATTTGAATTCACCCCACTGATGATTTAAGTTGTGTCATGATAGATTTTACAACTCAAATCATTCTCATTATCCAATATAATGCAATACTATCTTCAAATGTGGCTTTTCTTAAAAAAAAAAAAAAAAAAAAACACCAGAAATTTATTTGCACTAGCTGCTGTATATCCCAATTTGTCCAGTGGGTTTATGTCTTCCAAACTCCAGAGACATTATTCTTACATTTAATACCTGCATTTAATATTACATTTAATATTTAATATTACATTACCTTTAATAGTTCCATCTATGCTCATGAAAATGGGAAACTACCTGGCTTCTCTTCAAATTTCTCCTAGCTAAGTTTCCAAAGACCTGACCAATAAGCCTTTATTAGCGTCTACTTATGTTGGGCTCACTGCTAAGAGAAGAACTGGAGGAAAAGATACAGATAAGAGCTTGGCTCCTATCCCAGAGAGGCTGATCTAGGAAGGCAAAAACAGAATCCCTGCCAAGATGAATTAATTCCCTTCTGTTGTCCTACTTTTAAATACAGAACTCTTTTGTCTTGCTTCCCAGGAATGGTCAAGTTTTTGTTCTTCAGAGGTTATAGAGTTAAGGCAGGATTTAGCTAACTTGCTTCCTAATGGCTTTACAGTTATTGTCCAGAAGACCCAAATCTGTCTTCCGATAAATTCAAAGGTGGACTTGTTTTAAACAGCAATCAAGAAGACAATCTAACTTTTCCTAACTATGATTTATCAAGAGCACCACATCTTCCTCCCCAGTGGCATGCATCTCCTTCATCCTGTCAATGCCAGATAGAATACCTCTTTAGTCTATCACTTGCTTTCCAGCAGCTATCACTAAATAGCTGAGATTCTGTTATGGTGGCCATCTCTGTGCAGACTTCTATTTCTCTATCTTAACTTCTCATCTCAGAGACCCATCCTAAAACAACAAATAAGCCTATGGACAAAAATTATCACATGTGTCCCTTATTCCCTGCCAGTTCTCTATAACCTGATTTCCTGGTTTCAGTATATACAGATGTCTCAACTCCTGTCATATGTGCTCTCTTTTCCAAATGACCATTATTCTCTACCCCTACAATGCATCCTTTGTCTTGAAACATTTTAGAATTCTGCTTTAAACTATCCAACCCAATACTTGTAGACTACTTTGGCCACTTTATGATTTCATTTTTAGAAGACACCTGCCATTAATGAGGTTCTTTGCTTTCACAAGAGTCCGTCTTCTACTGATATGCAACTCAGACCTGTATGATCTAATAAGATATCCATGATTTCAAATCATTTTTTTAATGTCCGATGGCTATTTACGAAAACTGTCTTTAAACGCAGCCAGTGACACCAGTGAAACATTCTCTATATTTCAGTAATTCACCAGCTTTGCTTGAGTACTTACATCCTGATCACACTCCTTTTTTTAAAAAATCCCAATAAGTGAACTAAATCTTGGTTTGATACAAAGTATGTCTCACAAAAGTTTTTAAAGGTATGCCTAGCTTATAAAAATGCCCATAGCTACAACAATTTTAAGAGCCTGGTGGCTCAGCAGACTAATAGCATTGTGATTAACACCAGCTGTCTGCAATTACTGTAAGTTCGAATCTCACCAGGCTCAAGGTTGACTCAGCCTTCCATCCTTTCTAAGGTAGGTTAAATGAGGATCCAGTTTGTGGGGGCAATAAGCTAACTTTGTATAAATATATACAAAAGTATGAAGGCTATTGCTTAACGCATTGTAAGCTGCCCTGAGTCTCCGGAGAAGGGCGGCATATAAATCAAATTAAAAAACAAAACAAAACAATAATTCTTCATGTGAAACCTTCCCTTCATTAAAAAGTTATACATTACAGAATTGGGCCATGTTCCAACAAACTTTGTTTGTAAAGATGGTTGCATGTTTTGATATCCAGTCACTCAGTTCCCAGCTAGATTTAATTCTACTAATATTAACATGCTAATTACCAATTATTGGGACACATTCCATGACTTACACAAGATACATCTAGGTCCCTGATGGCAAACCTATGGCACGCGTGCTAGAAATGGCATGCAGCGCCCTCTCTGTGGGCACGTGAACCGTCATCCCAGTTCAGCTCTGTTGTGCATGCACGTGTACCTCCCACTGGCCAGCTGGTCTTCGGGCCTCTGCCACGCACGTAGAGGCACATGTGGGGGGTGCGTGCATATGTGGGGGATGGGGTGCGTGCAGGGCCCCCCTGCGCAAATGCGCATGGGATGGGGCCCGTGCAGGGTGTGTGTGCACAAGTACAGGTCGCATGCGTGTGAGCCACACGAGCATTGCATTTTGGGGGTTCAGGCTTTGGGCACACGGTCTGGAAAAGGTTAGCCATCACTGATGATGATCAGTATACCTGCTAATAGATAATCTCCTTCCTGAATGGCCCTCAGTTTCAAAGCCCTTTTTGGTCATCAGCACCTTTATGGATACTGGGTTCACATACTTTCTTTTCTAATAGCTTTCAAAAATTGTTTGTTAACTGCTTTTCATCTATTAGAAAATTTTGAATAGACATGGTTTACAGCACCAGGTGAGTTTCTTTTAATCCTTAGTGAAATACGTTTTAAATATTTTAAGGAGTTCATCTTCCCCCTTCGATAAACAGCAAAATAGTGATTAGAACTTTAATTTTGAAAATTACAAATGGACTATGGGTCCAGATGGATTTGAAACAAGGTATGGGAATTAATTATAGGAACCCTTACTACGGGCAATTGGTTTTGTTTTGAATTCTCTTAAAAATACATGATAGGATGGAACTTTGAAGGTTGGACACTAGAGGGAACCAGAATGAACTATAAAGATTACAATTAAAAAAGAACATTTAATTTGATTTACTAATACAGAATGGAGCAAAATATTTTAACATTGGATGATATTTTTCAAACAATGGACCTGCAAACTAATTTTAAGAATGTCTGCCATTAGATACATGTAGTCCTTGACTTATGACCACAATGAAGCCCAAAATTTCGGTTAAGCAAGACAGTTGCTAAGTGAATTTTGCAACCTTTCTTGCCACAGTT